ACCTCTTTCCGGCACTTCGACTCAGTCTCCCAACAGTTCGATTTCGCCTTCGACGCTCTTCGACACCTTCGACGATGCGCGACGCTCACTCGAAGCTCGGCACGGTCGTCCCGATGCCTCGCGCGTAGATCCCGGAACATCTCCCGCATTCGGCGAACAATAGGGCCACTTGACGCCGCTCGGCCAAACGCGCGCTTCGCTCCAAGCCACACCGAAGTAGCCGGTCTTTCCCGATTAGGTATCGAACCTCGCGGCATGCCTTCAACGACGGATACCGGTCCGAAGTGGCCATATGTTTCTCTTCATCTCCGCGTTCGGCATGACGTCACTCTACCGATGGACTTGGTATGTGCCCCTCGGTGAGGCAGCTTCTTGAGGAACAATGCAAAGCCCCTTGTACTAGTGTGCCACTTTCGATAGTCGTAGCGTCCTGTGTAGTATAAAATCTGTCGTACTTCTCTCTAAAAAGACAAGATCCGGTTCCCCCCCCCTCGAGTTCAGAGCTCATAAGTCGAGTTCGCCCCGCGTCTAAGCTTTCAACTGCGTCACTTCGTCCCTCGCTGCGTAACCTCGAAACCTCGTCCACTGCGTTTACTCGTCGATACCGTCTCGACGAACCCTTCGACTTCGACTATTGTCGAAGAAACTGCGAACCGCGTCCTAGCTAAGTCCCCCCTATCGAATTGTCTCTTTCTTCTACGATTCTTCGAAGAGCTCTCCCGAGCTTCGATCGTCTCCACTAACCATCCACAGCCTCCGAGGAGCTTCGACGACGTGTCGAAGCCACCTCGTAGCTTCCCCATTGTTCGTAGCCTTTTCCGAAGGCGTTTCTCATGTTCACTCGAACCGCGGGACACCTTGCTGCTAACTCCCCTCTCACTAGACTATAATCCGTCTCTCTAGTCCCTTTAGGTCGCACCCAGGTTAGGGGTTAGGGTTTCGTAGGTCGTATCAGCGAGTGGCTCGGCTAGAACTGAAGAAGGCCGTAACTACCCCACTCCCAGAACCAACGGAGGACAAATTCATCGTCATCTCCACCTCGGAGCACGCAACCCTCCCCGAACGAAAGACTAGCGGCGCAGCAGGATATGACATCTCTGCTGCGCATCAACTCATCATCCCTGCCCGATGACGAGGCCTGGTTGGCACCGATCTTATCATGGCTATCCCCGAAGGACACTACGGAAGAATCGCACCTCGGTCCGGTCTAGCGCTAAAAGAAATCGATGTCGCTGCAGGAGTAATCGACTCCGATTACCGAGGCAAGGTCTCAGTCCTGCTGGTCAACAACTCTGACCTCCCATTCACTGTCAAAGCTGGCGACCGAGTTGCCCAGCTCATCCTTGAAAGGATAAGCACCCCACCAGTAACGCTAACTGACTGCATCGACGAAACAGAACGCGGGGAGGATGGGTTTGGGTCAACGGGTATTGCGTCCATCGAGGAACAAGCGGAGGACATCGACGATGATGAGTTCATCATTTCCTACTTATCCGGAACGCCGATGATCACCAAGTACAAGAAACAGGAATCCCTGGCAGTAAGGGACGTTCCGCTCAAGGAACGACTCCCCGAACTCTCATCTGGCTACAAACGACTTCACAATGGCATGATCTGGAAGATCCACCACAACATTAGGCGAGTCACAACATCCACCGAACTTGCGGCCTCGAACGCCCAAGGCAAGACAGAAAAAACGCTACCACAGATGATACTGTCCTACCTACATGATCTCCTCTCCGTCTTCGACAAAGGCGCCACTGCGCAACTTCTGAACCATACCGAATATGACCATGAAATCAACCTCAAGGAGGGCTTTGCAGACATGAAGCAACAGGTTTACCCGCTCAACCCACAACAGCGAAAGGAACTCGACAAGTTCCTCGAGGAGAACCTGAGTAAAGGGTACATTCGCCCTTCGAAATCCCCGTTGGCGAGTCCATTCTTCTTTGTTGGTAAAAAGGACGGTTCACTACGTCCCTGTCAAGACTACCGGCTACTCAACGAGAACACGGTCAAGGATCGATACCCGCTCCCGCTTATATTGGACCTCCTCGACAAGTTGAAGCACGCCAAGGTGTTCACAAAGATGGACCTCCGTGCCGGATACAACAACGTCCGAATCAAGAAAGGGGACGAATGGAAGGCAGCGTTCATTGTACCCGGAACTGATGGCAAACCGCCGCAGCTGTACGAACCAACGGTGATGTTCTTTGGGCTGTGTAATTCCCCCACTACGTTCCAGCAGATGATGAACACTATATTTGCAGACATGCTTCAAGAAGGCTGGCTTTGCATCTACATGGACGACATCCTGATCTTTTCCCAGGACAAGGCAGAACATGAGGAACGAACACGACGTGTTATCGAACGACTTCGACAACACGACCTCTACCTCAAACCGGAGAAATGCGCCTTTGACGTCATCGAAGTCGAATTCCTCGGCATGATCATCCGCCCAGGAGAAATCGCAATGGACCCCGTCAAACTAGCTGGCATTGCAGATTGGCCGGTGCCGTCCAACCTCAGGCAAGTACGCGCCTTCGTTGGATTTGGAAACTTTTACCGCCGGTTTATCAAAGGATTCTCGGACAAAGCGCAACCGCTGGTCACTCTCACCCGGAAGGATGTCGCCTGGACCTGGGGATCTGACCAACAGAAAGCCTTCGAAACCCTCAAGAAGGCATTCCTAGAAGAACCGGTACTATGCATGCCAGATCCCGATCAACCCTTCGCTATCAAAACCGACGCCTCCAAGTTTGCAACCGGAGCAGTACTACGCCAGTGCGACGACAACGGCGACTGGCATCCTTGCGGATACCTCTCTCAAAGCTTCAATGCCGCAGAGAGAAACTACGACATCTACGACAGGGAGTTATATGCGGTCATCCGCGCACTAGATGAGTGGAAGCACTACCTCATCGGCAGCCCATACCCAGTAACAATTCTCAGCGACCACAAGAACCTCACATATTGGAAACAAGCCAAAGACATGAACCGACGACAAGCACGCTGGGCGAGTAAACTGACCAAGTTTGACTTCTGCCTGGTACACGTTCCTGGTACCCAAATGGTGCAGAGCGATGCTCTCTCACGCCGACCCGACCATGACGACGGCTCTAATGACAACACCGACGTCGTTATGCTCCCACCGGAAGTATGGGTCGCTGCCATCGACATCGACACCCGTGACACCATCCTTTCCTTTAAGGATGACCCAATAATGAAGGAAGGCCTCACTGCGGCGCGCACTGGAGGAACACCACACACTGGAACAGACTGGTCCATCGATGATGACCTCCTCCTATACCAGGATCGGGTCTATGTACCCCCAGATGAGTCTCTTCGCAAATGTCTTGTCTCCCACTATCACGACCTCCCCTCCACAGGACACCCCGGTGTTCAGAAAACCCTCCTCAGCTTGCGCCGTGACTACTGGTGGCCGAGCATGGCCCAGTTTGTTGCCTGCTATGTTAACGGCTGTGGCATCTGCCAGCAAATGAAGGTTAACATGCATCCAGCCCGTCCGCCCATCACCCCCATTCGACCCCGCGCAAATGCCAAGCCCTTCAGCACATTCTCATGCGATTACATCACCGACTTGCCACCGTCCAACGGCTTCGATTCAATTCTGGTCGTAGTGGACCACGACCTTACAAAGGGGGTAATTTTCATCCCATGCAACAAAACAATTGATGCTCTTGGGACGGCAGACGCAATGTACCAAGAGGTCTACAAGTGGTTTGGACTCCCAGACAAGATCATCAGTGACCGAGGACCGCAATTTGCGTCCAAAGTCTTCCAAGAACTTTGCAAAATGACTGGGGTTCAATCAGCCATGAGTACGGCATTCCATCCACAAACCGATGGCGAGACAGAACGAGTAAACCAAGAGCTGGAGATCTACCTCCGCTGCTTCACTGCCAATGATCCGGATAAGTGGGCTGACCATCTTCACACTGCGCAATTTGCTCACAACTCCCGCGAGCATTCCACGACGAAGACGTCCCCATTCAAACTCATGATGGGATACGAACCTCGCGGAATACCCACCGCGCACCCCGGATCAAACACGCCGCAAGCAGCTTATTGCCTCAAGGACTTGCAAAACATCCGTGAGGAAGCACATGCGGCAATGGAGATGGCCCAGAACGTCCTGGCCAAGAGAGTAAAAAGGAAGGGGGGTTCCTTCTGTAAAGGTCAGCTGGTATGGCTAGACTCCCGGAACTTGAAGCTGCCGTACCCGTCCAGGAAACTAGCCCCAAGGCAAGAAGGGCTGTTCAAAGTCCTAGACAAGATTGGAATGGTCGCGTACAAGCTAGACCTCCCTAGCACCTGGCGAGTCCACCCCGTTTTCCATGAATGGCTTCTATCTCCCTACTCTGAGACGGAGACCCATGGTCCGAACTACACGAGGCCACCTCCTGACCTTATCGAGGGTGAAGATAACTATGAAGTCGAAGCCATCATCGGACACCGAGAGAACAAGAGGATGCGACGCCGGGAATATCGCGTCAGATGGAAGGGTTACTCAACAGCCGATGACTCATGGGAGCCCGAAGCGAACCTGACTGGGACGGCGGACGAAGTGTTGGCAGAGTATAAGAACAGGAAGGACTTGAGCTGAATCGATAGCAGCTCTACCCAGTCACTACATCCCCACTCGCACCGACATGTCTTCCACCCTCTCGTTCCTCGACCAGTTCAATGCCCCCTCGACCGAAGGCGGGAAAAGAATCTCAATCTACACCCCTAAGCACACCCACGTCGGCGACAGCACCTTGCTGACATTCCTTCTCAGTAATCCCACCGACGTTTTCAACAAGCTCAAAGCCCACAACCCCGAGGCAACCAATGCCACCGACCGCGCTGCACTAGAAGTGTACCTCTCCGCCCGCCATGAATACGACGAGGCTGTCAAGGCAGCCGACGAGGCCATCGACCACCACAAACGACTCCTACGTCAACAGGACGACCGTGTCCTCACCGAGCTCATTCGACTCGACAATCTGAAAGTTGCCCATCGCTTTCAACCGCTCCTATCACGCAGCATCCGGGTGTGACACAACAAATTCATCCCACGCGCCATCCCCAACGCGTACCTACCCCTACCCGCACCCCTACCGACGTCTGCCTTCAGGTGCCCCCCGATCCCATCCCCTTTCCTCCAAGCAACACCACGGAGCACTACCATCCCAGCTGACTGGCAACCCAACCCTGGTTGGACCCCGAAGGGAAGCTGCAGGCGATGCGGATCGTCTCGACACTGGGTACGGGACTGTCCGGACGTACGATGCGCAGGATGCGGAAAAGAAGCCCCTGGACACCTGGAGCGAGAGTGCGGAACCAGGCCGATGAAGCGACACGTATCCGCACCACCTGAAGAACCTGCGCGACGCGTGGGGGTGGTCGTCGACAACGTGTT